AGTCTTAAGTTATCTCTAAATACCACAAATAGATACAGATCAATGTCCCATTTGCAGAAGCTTATTAAATTCTTGGGTTGTTTTTAATAACTTCTAATACCATACTGAAATTTAACAGAGCTCAATTTAAGTCTCATTATTTGATTAGCGATTTATCAGTACTTACTATGTATGGTAACTGAGTAATCGTGTTAGATATCATAAGGGTTAGAGATTAACAGTGATATATCTGGGAGGAAAGATGAGACAAGTATATAAATATTCTTAACACAATTGAGAAAATGTTTTAAAATCCCAACATAGGAGTTAAAGGGCTATCAGATGCTAATGGAAGGAAGCATATCAGAAAATACAGCCTGAAGAAAATATGGTTTTAGGTAGGCCTTGGAGGCCATCTAAGAATTGAGATATAGGGCAGCATAAGCAAAGGCCAAGAGATAAAAATCTCAAAAAGAGAAAAAGAACATGAGTATTTTAGTTTGGCTGGACTGTAGAATTCTTTAAGAAAAATAGTAGGAAAGTAGCTGGAAAAATAAGTCAGGACCAGATAAAGGTAAACCCTGAACATTAGGTTAAGAGCTAAGGTCTTTATTCAATACAGAGAATGAGGAATAGCTTAAAGAAAAACACTTTTTCTGAGCCATGTTCAAAAGACCTTCACCATTAAAGCTATAATTTTCATAGAATCAGTAGCTAATATGTAAATAATTGTATCCACAAGGTTCCTCATGATATAGAAATATAAAGGATTAAAATAATGTTTGGAAAACAATTACACAGTATTTAGTTATATTAGAGTTTGGAAGGAGAAATGGTATTACAATCTCATTAAATTCTTCCTTTCATAATTGAGGCCACCAAACCAAGTCATCATCAGTTAAAATCTTAGATGTGTTCATGTGTGTATCCCATATTTCAGTACAGGTTCTGTATTTTACTTCCAGATTACTTTTAGGATTTGGGGGTCTTTAAATAGATACAGATCTTAGTTGAAAAAAGAAGCTATAACCTACTAGTTTCAGGGTAAGTGGTTTCTGAGAGAAATGAAAGCAGATGACAACTATGTCTTCTCTTCCATTTTCTTTTTTATGGTTAAAAATAATCCTTCTTTCTTTTCTGTACCCAAAATTAGTTCAAGGAGTTTCTGTGATTATATCAAACTATCTAAAGAAGTTGAACATCTAGGATGCGTTTTCCCATTATTACTAACATAGAAAATTATTTGCACCATTACTACTTCTTTGAGCATTAAAGAACAAGCAAAAACAAGGTACTTCTTTTGACAGCTTCAGTCATCACAGCCTAGTCTGTGACACTGGCATTAAAAGTAAAAATGTATTTAACTATTAGCTGAAGTACACAAAGCCATATAATAAATATTTGATGTTTCAAATGTCACTTTTAAGTTTTAAAAAGGGGGGGGGCGCGCCTGGGTGGCTCAGTGGGTTAAAGCCTCTGCCTTCGGCTCAGGTCATAGTCTCAGGGTCCTGGGATTGAGCCCCGCATCAGGCTCTCTGCTCAGCGAGGAGCCTGCTTCCTCCTCTCTCTCTCTCTCTGCCTGCCTCTCCACCTACTTGTGATATCTCTCTCTGTCAAATAAAAAAAAAAAAAATTTTTTTTTTAAAGCTGCTGATAACTAGAGAAGGACAAAAGACACGGAAATTCATTGTTAAAGGTTGCTGTTTTCATATGCTGACACTGAGTTTAGAAACATATCTACTCAAGTACTCACCTAGATCCTGGGGATTTAAAAACCGACCACATGGATCCAGACTGAATGGGGCTCATAGATCTAGTGGAGGGAAACAGAGCAGTAGAGCACATAAATTATAACAAAATGTTTCAATAGGGGAGGGATCAAAGGTATGGCTGGAAAGGTTATTTTTTGGCAAAACTGAGGGAGGGTCACATATGCCATGAGCTTTATCTTCATACTGAGAGTCACTAAAAGTTTTTAAGGAAGGATGTAGGTTGATAGAAATCATATTCTAGGAGGATATATAAGTCCTCCTAGATATATCTGATATATCTGATGATACTGAATCAAACGTACAGCACAGACTGGAAATGAGACTTCTAAAGAGGATATTTAAAAGCCAGGACTAGCTAAGTGGTTAGCTAGAGCACAGTGTGGATTCTGAAGCCAGATTACCTGGGTTCAAGTTTAGTTCTACTCTGACTAGCCTTATCACCTTATTTAAATTCTGTGTGTCTAAAGTTTCTTCCAGCAGAGATTAGTATAGTACCTTCCTCATATAGTTGAAGAGCTTTGTAACATATAGTTCAAGAGCTTGTAACAGTCTTGGCACATAGTAGCTGCTCTCAATGTTAGCTTTGTTGTTGTTGTTTTTGCTACTATTACTGCTCTTGCTGCATAGGCCATAATTGAGATCAATTTAAGCAAATCTGGTGGTAGAATATCTTCAACACCCAGAACTCATGTCCTGAATAAAGTATCCTAATACCACCTACTTCAAGATTCATAAAACCCTACCTTCCCCAGTAAGAAAATCCCCCCAAACTCCTACACTAAGGCAAAAAGGTTATACTGAAAAAACAAACAAACAAAAACTTGTTGGCCCTCATTACCTGTAGCTTGCTAATGTTAAGGCACGCATCACAATAATGTAATAAATATTCAAGTTGATGATAAATTATAGTTGCCACAAATATAGTGGTTAAACGTCCAATGTTATTCAGGATTTGTTCATTTTCTCTGGGGACTGTTTTTCACTTTATTTTTTTAAAAGATTTTATTTATTTATTTTAGAGAAAGAGATAGAGAGAAGGTGTGTGTGAGTGGGGGGAGACACAGAGGGAGAGGGACAAGCAAACTCTGCACTGAGCGCAAGCCTCCTGTGAGGCTCCATCTCACGACCCTGAGATCGTGACCTGAGCCGAAACCCAGTCAGATGTTTAACAGACAGCTCCCCAGGAACCCTGTTTTTCACTTTAATTGCCATAGGCTCATAACAAAAGTATTAAGCTGTCTTTTCAGAAAAACAAATTGTTGACCAAAAAAACTTCCTCACCTAAATGGTAAATAATTCTAAGATTAAGCCATGGATGATCAGACTATGGGAACTTCTGGAATTGAAAAACTGGCTTCTGAATTGGTCTTTATCAAAAAGATCTGAGCATGTTGGACTACAGCACTCTCTCAACACACACAGGATACTGTAACTCTTTTCTAAATTCTTAGCCAATGTAATCTTTAGTATAAATAATATTAGAGCAATGTGATCATTCCCATTAAAAATATCAAAAGTAGTTTTCTAACTTCTCTATAAAAATACACACATTCTGGTCCTAAAGTATGGCCATAAATTCTCAAATAATTCACAACAAAATTAAGCAGAAAAATTGGGATCTGTGGGTATAAATAAAACTTAATTTGTATATATAATGAAAATTTAATACATTTAAAGCAAGGTTATAATTACAGTCCCACTTAGATGCAACATTCTTAAAGCAGTATTTCAGAATAACAATCTAGAGGCAGTCTCTCACCCCTCTGATCTCTCACAGCATGGGGCTTACATCACACACTGCTTTGTATTTTAATAATCTGTGTGCATGTGTTCTTTTATATCTGATTATAAATACTTAATTATAAATTATTAATTATTAATTATAAATTCAGAGGGAAGAGACTCTGGCTAATTCACCTTTGGATCTACTACACATGTAGTATGCTGCTACAGTTAGTAAGTAGTTAATATTTTTAAATAATAAAACCTATTAAAACTTACATTCAAAAATTAATTCTGTGCTTACCATCAGGACATAGGACTTTTACCCACATTTTTTAATTCATTAAATTGTATTATATTTAAAAGGCTTTAAAATGCTTAAGATACCTTTTGGCATTTTAAAAATATTTAGTTCAAAATATTACCTTTCTAAAAATTTGTATGATTTTTCCAAATGACACTATTTGTTCTGCAAAGAAATTGTACGTCACCTTTAATTTTAGCATCATATTGAAAGTTCAGATTCTAAGCCCCTACATTTGAAGGTGTCATTAATACTCCGAAATCTATCATATGTAATATCTGAAAACGATAACCTTGAACTAGTCTAAGATTATAGGGCAGTCCTTTCATATTTCTAGCCCTAATAATACTTCCAAAGACAAGTTTGATTAATTCTTCCCTATTCTCACCCTCCTCCTCAAATATTTTTTAAAAAGATTTTTATTTATTTATTTCACATACAGACATCACAAGTAGGCAGAGAGGCAGGCAGAGAGAGAGGGGGAAGCAGGCTCCATGCGGAGCAGAGAGCCCGATGCCGGGCTCCATCCCAGGAGCCTGGGATCATGACCTGAGCTGAAGGCAGAGGCTTTAACCCACTGAGCCACCCAGGCGCCCCCCTCAAATATTTTAATTTATGCTCTTAGTTTCTCTGTCATCCACGCAGCAAAACCTACCCTCTGGAAAAAGTCTGAAACTAATTTACACTGAAGAGGCAAAGGACTGGTAACAGCTCAATGTGAAAGTTTGGTACGGGAGCCCTGTCCCAGGTTTCTGTGCCAGGTGTGCTAATGTAATCTCCCCAAGTCTCTGTTTCCACATGCATAAAACGAAAGTAGTTAGAATTAATGATTCCTGGGACGCCTGGGTGGCTCAGTTGGTTAAGCGGCTGCCTTCGGCTCAGGTCATGGTCCCAGCGTCCTGGGATCGAGTCCCGCATCGGGCTCCTTGCTTGGCGGGGAGCCTGCTTCTCCCTCTGCCTCTGCCTGCCACTCTGCCTGTGCTTGTGCTCTCTCTCTCTCTCTAACAAATAAATAAATAAAATCTTTAAAAAAAAAAAAAGAATTAATGATTCCTAAGATTCATTCCTGCCCAGATTATCGCCTTTAAGGAATGTCTGCAGCCTTCTGCATCATTCATTCGGTTGTATGCAGCATTTAAGACCAGTAATCAGATACAGCACTTTCAATACTTATTCATTAAAGGAATATTGATTGAACACGTATTCTGTGCCTGGCAATACAGTGTTTGCAGAGATCTACTAGGTGATGACAAAGAAGGAGGAAAAGACAACGAAGGAAGTAAAGAGATGGAAGAAGCAGCGCTTAAGCTCCTGCAATACAGCAAACACGTCCCAGAGTCGGGCAGGAGAACTAAACCCGTCCTCAGTAAGGGGGATTGTGTGTCCAGAGGCATGTCGAGTGTTTCGGCCGCTGAAGGCTGGGTGACAGGCTTACAGGTTACGTGCTCGCAGCACTTACCCCAATTAGAATTTGACACACTTCGTGGGATTTGATTAACGCGTGTCCCTCGCTAGATCACAAGTTCCTTAACTGCGGGACAGCGTGTGCGTGTGTCCACCATTTTTCCCAGAGTCTAACACACTGTCTCGCGCTTAGTAAATGTTGAAGAATTGATTTAAAAAAAAAAAAAAAAAAACCAACAAAGACCCCCGCGAGCGTGTCCCGTCCAAACATCTTCAAGAGTGAACTGTCCGCTAAGAAGTCGCGGCGCCCTCTGCAGCCAACTCGAGCGCCTGGAGAGTCAGCTCCAGGAGCGGGGCTCCGCCCGCGCACCGACCCCCGGAGACCCCCTCGGGGTCACAAATCACCACCGTCACCGAGCCCTGCGGGCGCCTCGCTGGAGGTGGGTTAACAGCCTCCCCGAGGCCCGGCCAGGATTCTCGAAGCCGGCGGCGCCGTCCAGGCCTCCGGTTACGGTGCCCAGAAAGGCAGTATTTGGACGTCGCGGACAGAAAACCTGCTTAGCTTCCAGACAGACGGGCGGAGGGGATATGTAACAACTGCAGTCACTGGGGAGTTCCGACACATCTGCTCTCGCTGCCGGCCGGAAGCGCCCGGTACAACCACACGACAGCTCACCGGACACCCCCCGGCCTCTCCGAGGCGTGGAGATAGAGCGCCCTCTAGCGGCCCCGGAGACCGCGCCTCGAGATTCCCGCAAGATCCCGTCTCCCAGCCACGCCCAGACTCGCGAGAGTAGGAACAGCGGTCTCAAAGGGCTCCACGGAACGGAACTTCCTACGTCTAGTGTTCCTACACGGAAGGATCTTAATTCACCGGAATCGATTGGCGTTCAAGGGCAAAAGCGAAGAGGGAGGTCCTCTTAAGGTGACTAAGCCTACCGGACGGAGCGGAAGTCCTTGTTCACACGCCGCGCGGAAAGGATCCTGGGGGCCGGAAGGAGGTGGAAACTCCTGCCGCGGAGCAATTCGCGGGCGAGCTGGCCTGGGAGGAGAGCGCGTGGCTGTTGGAAAAGGCGTGTTGCTGGAGCGCGTGGCGGTTCGCGGCGGTCGGAGGTTACCGAAGGCCTGACATCGGTGTGGAACTTAAGCCCGTGAGTTATGGTGGGGAGATCCCGGCGGCGCGGAGCGGCCAAGTGGGCAGCTGTGCGAGCCCAGGCTGGTCCCGGCCCAGAGGACGAAAATGAAGACGATTCAGAATTGCCACCCTCGCCTGGGGACTCCAGCTACTACCAAGATAAGGTAGACGATTTCCATGAGGCCCGATCCCGGGCTGCCTTGGCTAAAGGCTGGGGCGAAGTGGAGAGTGAGGAGGAGGAGGAGGACGGTGATGAGGAGGAAGAGGTTCTACCCCTAGATATTGCTGATGAGGACGATGAAGATGGAGAGAGCGCGGGGGATGACGCGGATGACGATGGCGGGAGCTCCGTGCAGAGTGAGGCCGAGGTGTCCGTGGATCCCAGTTTGTCATGGGGTCAGAGGAAAAAACTTTACTATGACACAGACTACGGTTCCAAGTCCCGACGCCGACAGAGTCAACAAGAAGTAGAGGAGGAGGAAAGAGAGGAGGAGGAGGAAGCGCAGCTCATTCAGCGGCGTCTCGCGCAAGCCCTGGAAGAGGATGACTTTGGGGTCACCTGGGTTGAGGCCTTTGCAAAACCAGCACCTCAGGTAGATGAGGCTGAGACCCGCGTCGTGAAGGATCTGGCGAAAGTTTCAGTGAAAGAGAAGCTGAAGATGCTGCGGAAGGAGTCACCAGAGCTCTTGGAGCTTATAGAAGACCTGAAGGTTAAGCTGACTGAAGTGAAGGATGAGCTGGAGCCGCTGCTGCAGTTGGCGGAGCGAGGGGTCATTCCACCCGGAAAGGGGAGCCAGTACCTGAGGACCAAGTACAACCTCTATTTGAACTACTGCTCCAACATCAGCTTTTATTTGATCCTGAAAGCCAGGAGAGTCCCCGCGCATGGACACCCCGTCATAGAGAGGCTTGTCACCTACCGCAATTTGATCAACAAACTGTCAGTTGTAGATCAGAAGCTGTCTTCTGAAATTCGTCATCTGCTCACATTTAAAGATGATGCTGGGAAGAAAGGACTAAATTCGAGAGCAAAATCCACCAAGGCCAAGCCAAAATCCGTTTCAGAGACTACTGCTGCGGCCTCTGCTGTTGCAGCTACGTCTGATGATTCCGATCTTGATGAAGAAGCTGCGCTGAAATTCTACAAGGAAATAGAAGACAAGCAGAAGTTGAAGAGAAAGAAAGAAGAAAATAGTGTTGACGAACAGACTCTTGAAGATCAGAATGCGAAGAGAGCCATTACCTATCAGATCGCTAAAAATAGAGGACTTACACCTAGAAGAAAGAAGATCGACCGCAATCCCAGAGTGAAACACCGGGAAAAGTTCAGAAGAGCCAAAATCCGCAGGAGAGGGCAAGTTCGTGAAGTCCGGAGAGAAGAGCAGCGTTACACTGGTGAACTCTCTGGCATTCGTGCGGGAGTTAAAAAGAGCATTAAGCTTAAATAACGTTTTCACTTAGCTTAAGTTCTTCGGCAATAATTTTAGATCAATAAATTTTTATCTTTAACTGGTGAAGTGATTGGATTGATATATAATACCTAACCTTAGATTTAAAAAATTCTTGTCAACAGGGAAATTTGGTTTGTTCAATTTTTTTGTTGTTCTTTAATTTATATTGAAGTCATACTAGGAATTTGGGCAGCCATACAAAAGTGCTGGTAAAAGGTGGTGTGGACCAGAGTTCTCCAATATTCTGTCAAGTAGTCGCCTAGGAAAGTTTCCTGGGTGGTGAAGGAACAACTGTCAAACTTAGAACACTTTTATAATTTTTCTTGTGAAGAGAATGCATCTTTGGAATCATCTTATTTGTAAGATGGCCTATAAAATAGTTCTGACATATTAATTTCATTTACCTGAGTGTAATTCTTGAGCAGGATACTTGTAACTAACAGGTCTAATGTCAGCTTAAGGATTTTGTACATTCTGTGTGGTAAAAGCTTAGGAATGAAGAGGAACTTTAGTTAAAGTAGAAAAAGACACGACTTAATTACATTAATTGTGAACATTTTCTTATAGTCCTTAATGTGATAAATAAGGTAAAAGTTTCATTTTCAGTACTGTACTGGGGACTTCAACAGTTGCCGTTTGTACACTCGCAGAAAATTTGGTAGGATTACTGTGAGGTGAGTGACAAGTTCAGGTGGTAAAAAAGAACAAAAGTTACACCTTTCCTTAGTCATTCTGGTCTTTAAAGTAGGAGGGAGATGCTGAGATGATGAACTTGAAAATATTTGGGATGATGCCAGGGAAGAAAATGACCAGCCTACTGAAGGAAAGTATAAAAGATGTTGTAACTATGTCAGTGTTCATTAGCTATTGTTAATTAAATATCTCTAGCTGTTAGAGATACAAAGATGATCAGTGGTTAATATTTATTAAACAATCACCATGTACCAGTTGTGCATCACCTCATCTAACCTTTAATAGTAACTTTGTGAGGTGTGGTACTGTTTTATAGATTTCCCTTAGGAGGATGCTGAAATTCCAGGAGGTTAACTTTATAAAGGACGCAGGCTTGGGATTTGGACCTAAACCATCTTAACTTGAGCCTTATCTTAACCTCTGGTTTAAAGCTGCTTCCTCAGCAGCACACATGTCAAATTATTTTATCTTTTGTTTTCTTATAAAGAGGTGGATTGGAAATAAAAGTCAAAAGTGCTAAGGTACTTCTGTAAGCACTTTATTTATACTTAACATCCTTACTCCTCACAATTTTGGTGCAGTAATATCTATTAGCCATATTGTAAAGATGAGGAAGCTAAAAGAAAAAATAGCTTTAAAGGTCATGTAGCTATTAAGTAGAGTCAGGATTTCAATCCAGCCTTTCTGGCATTCCTTTCCTGATACATTAGGAAAAGTACAAGTTTTGCTATTAACTTACTCGGGTGCTTTTGAGTTAATTACTTGATTTCCAACTCATTTTCTTTATGGTACAACTGTACCTACCTTGGAGAGGTGATGTAACAATGGTTAAGAGCTCTGAGACAATAGAAAGTATGTGTTTTGGTTCTGCCCCCAATTCTTGGCACAGAACTCCTAAACCCTTGTTAATTCCTAAGTGATAAGAGCACTCAGAGCATTTTTTTGTTCTAATGAGGTGACTGGGTGGGCTCCTGCTTGGCTCTGGAATGGGGGCTGGTGCCCAGAAAGTTCAGGCCACAATTAAAAGCTTGGAATTTTCAGCCCTACCCCCATTCAACAGAAAGGGGAGAGAGGCTGGAAATGGAATTACTGATTGATTATGCGTATGTGAGAAAGCCTTCATAAAATCCCCAACAGTGTGAGGTTCAGGGATCTTCCAGATTGGTGAATGCATCCACACGGACAGGGTGATGCACTCCATGGGGACAGCATCTTCTGTGCTCGGCACCCTCCCATACTTCACCAAATGCATCTCTTCGTCTGACTTCACCTGTATACTCATATCCTTTAACAGGCTGGTAAACGTTAAGTAAGTGTTTCCATGAGTTCTATGAGCCACTCTAGCCAATTAATTGGACCCAGGGAGGGGGTTGTGAGAACCTCAGATTTGCAGCTGATGGGGCAGAAGCACAGGTTAACAGCTTGAACTGTCCAGGTAGAGAATGTCAGAATTTAGTTAAATTGTACAATACCCAGCCAGTGTGACAATTGCTAGGGGGAGGAGAGGGGCTCACATCTGGTGTTAAGAAATACTGTGAGTGTGGTACTATAAAAGAAAGAGGTGTAAAACAGTTTTCCCAATTCGAGAGCAGACTAGACTCCCCGGGTTCGTAACCCATTTCCATCACTTAGTCTATGAGTTGGGGTACATCTCTCTGTTCCTTAGTTTTTTTTTCATCTAAACTGGGAGAATTAGTAGCAGTGTCTGCTTTGTAGAGTTTTTGTGAAAATTAATATTAAATTAATAATTAAAGCACTTAGAACAATGCCTGTTACACAGCAATCACCTAGTAAGTTTTGGCTCTTAACTACAGGGTTGTGACAACACACCTCAGTACATAGGTGCCCAACGAATTGTAGCTAAAACAGAAACAGAATAAAGTATAGTTTGTAAAAATGATTGAGAAATTAATATTCTCAGTTTGAAAGAAGAGGGGAGCATTGGGTGACCACGTTAAGGAATACAGAAAACCTAGCACAAAACAAAGGAAATGAAGTTAGAGGTTAAAAATACTTGATGTTCTATGTCAAATCTCTGCCAGGTGTATAAAGTCATGATGAGGAGGAGATATTTTAAAGGAAGAAAAGCTTTCCATTTAGGAAAATGGAAAAAATTGTGCTGTTAAATATTCCACCAAATACTCCTTCAGAGACCTCACAACACATTGTAAACATTAATTCATTCTGGAATAGCTAGGATATAGGTGGTGCTATCCTAATTACAGACGTAAAAAATGGCCTTGCCTGATGTGAATTGATAGTTAATGAAGTAACAAATTGCTGGATATAATATTTACATCATCCAAATTTTGTATATATTTAAACATTTAAAGGGCACTGAGATGTGGGAGGTACCATCCTAACATGGGAATAACTACTCAGTGTGATCACTTAGCATAGTGACTCACTTTGTGAACTCAGGAGTGTCGTGGGTAACAGTTCCAATAAAATAGATGACTGGTTGGTGGCATCAATCAATATAAAGCAACATCCTATTAGTTTTATGTCAGCATGTTAAGCTATGGGTAACTTAAAAATACTAAAAAGTAAAGAAAATACCAAACTAGTGATCCAGTGATTTACTCTACCGCTAACCAGCTGACTAGCTTTGAGTAGTCAATTTCTCTAAGCCACAGTTTCTCACTTATATTCTTGTGAAGGAATTAAATAAAAATAAATGTATCCCTTTAATTTTTGTGTAGAAATAAATTTGCTTCTCAGGCTTTTTTTTTTTTTCTTTTTTATTTGGCAGACAGCGATCACAAGTAGGCAGAGGGGCAGGCAGAGAGAGTGGGAAGCAGGCTCCCCACTGAGCAGAGAGCCCAGGACCCTGAGATCATGATCTGAGCGGAAGGCAGAGGCTTAACCCACTGAGCCACCCAAGTGCCCCTGCTTATCAGACTTCTAAAACTACCTTAATGGTCAGAGCTTTTGGCTCCTGGGAAATTACTTTTTGTGGTCTTAAAGATAAAAATAGCTTATAACTTGAATAGTTACATTCACATATCTGACACACACAAAAAATTATATCTCTAAAAAATGGCTAGAATTGCTTATTCCTTGCTATTTGTCTAAAGTAAAAGTTTTAATATGTTACAGTAATATAACATTATCAAAATAATTCAAGAAAAGTGAAGGTCAGTGTAATTTACATCTCAGAGCACAATGAGGAACAAGTACCACTGACTGAATAGAAACTGATCCCAAAAGATCATGTAGGATTCACCTAGAGTTCCAAATCATTCAAACTGAATATTACTTCAGGTAATAAATCAGAGTTGTTGTTTTTTTTTAAGATTTTATTTATTTGATAGAGATCACAGGTAGGCAGAAAGGCAGGCAGAGAGAGGAAGGGAAGCAGGCTCCCTGCTGAGCAGAGAGCCCAATGCGGGGCTCGATCCCAGGACCCTGGGATCATGACCTGAGCCGAAGGCAGAGGCTTTAACCCACTGAGCCACCCAGGCGCCCCATAAATCAGACTTTAAAAATTCTTTTAGATAGTGATTCTTTTTAACACATTTGCATTATGCCACAGAAACAAATTAAAAAATGTACCACCACCCAGGGGCACCTGGGTGGCTCAGTGGGTTAAAACCTCTGCCTTCAGCTCGGGTCATGATATATACATGTGTTAACATGTATATTTTAAGTTTTGCTTAAAGTATATTTTCTTAATATCAAAGTTTTTAACTTAGTTACTTCAGCTATGCATTCCAGAGGTTTTCTGGATTCCTTCAGCTATACATTTCTAAGGAAGAAAAAATGATTTTTTTTTCTTACATTTGCTTCAAAGCGAAGCTTTAAATGAGAGTAAATATTAAGAATCCACATTTTTTTTTTTAAGATTTTATTTATTTGACAGAGAGAGATCACAAGTGGTCAGAGAGGCAAGCAGAGAGAGAGAGAGGAGGAAGCAGGCTCCCTGCAGAGCAGAGAACCCGATGTGGAACTCGATCCCAGGACCCTGAGATCATGACCTGAGCCGAAGGCAGAGGCTTAACCACTGAGCCACCCAGGTGCCCCAAGAATCCACATTTTTAAAAGTATAAACAAAACAACAAAAAGAAACCCTGGAGGAAATGAATAACATGGTCTGCCTTAAGGAAAACAATGTAGGGTAGCAAGTAAAAGTTTGACCTCTGGAGCCAGACTGAGTTCAAATCCCAGTGTCACCACTTACAGTGTGTCTTTGATCTACTTAATCTCTGTCCCAACTTCCTCACATTGAATAATGTATGATGTTATAGCCATTTAAATAGTTAAACCATATAATATACATTTAGAACAGTACCCAGCAGGTAAGTGTTTAGTGTTAGTTAATATTAATTTTTTTTATTATTAATCCATTAAAAAAAAAATCACTCCCTCCACTTGAAAGAGTTAATTTTCTCCTTGGTTCTCTCAGTACTTTACAAACCAGAGCACCTAAGGACGAGGCGGTAAGTTTAAGAAGCAGATTCCTGTGCCCTACCATCACAGACTCGGATTTAGCAGGCCTGGTGTTAATTCAGGGATCTGTACTTTTGACAGGCACCTCAGATGATGCTGATCCAGGTAACCTATAGAATACACTTTGGGAAACACTGCCCTGGGCACACTGGTTTTAGGTTTCTCTTAGCCAATAACAGAGACCTGAATGAAATTAATTACAGGAATGAAATATGGGTGGTATTAACATGGGACTACAGAACCTCAATTGTTAGTCCCATGAGAATCTGTGGAAAGCAATGGACCGCCAGGCAGTACAATAACCTAGGCTCGACCACATTTTACATACCAGGAGTGGGTTCCTGGACTCTGAAGCCAGGAGTCCTTGGGCCTCAGGAAACCTTACACTAGAGGCCTGTTCCTTTTATTTACCCTTAAGCGTTGCTTTATGTGGCCCATGCCAGTACATACACTAGGAGACCATCTTATGATGGGGGAGAGAGGGGATTATTCAAAATAAGCCGATGACTAAACAACTTTATTAGCACTCATAATTCTTTTGTACTTATTACATGAGCTCTTTTAGACATACAGCTGACATTTGAACAATATGGGGATTAAGGATGCAAACCCACACCCCCATGCAGATGAAAATCCCGTATCATTTTTGACTCCCCCGAAACTTAATAGCCTAGTCTTGACCAGAAGCTTTACTGATAGTATAGATGGCAGATTAACACATGTTTATGGTATGTGCATTATATCCTGTATTCTTTTTTTTTTTTTAAGATTTTATTTATTTATTTGTCAGAGAGAGAGAGAGAGAGAGAGAGAGCACACACAAGCAGGCAGAATGGCAGGCAGAGGCAGCGAGAGAAGCAGGCTCCCTGCCAAGCAAGGAGCCCGGGGCAGGACTCAATCCCAGGACCCTGGGATCATGACCTGAGCCGAAGGCAGCAGCTTAACCAACTGAGCCACCCAGACGTCCCTATATACTGTATTCTTAGAATAAAATAAGCTAGAGAAAAGAAAATGTTACTAGGAAAATCCTATGGAAGAGAAAATACATTTACCAAACTGGACTTACTTATTGGAAAAATCCACACAGAAGGGTGCCTGCACAGTTCAAACCCATATTGTCAAGGGGCAATTGTACTTACGTTTCTAATTACATCATATTCAAACCTACACATAAAGGGAAATTAAGGCCAAACAAATAAGTTTATTCCTTAAGCTTCACTTAAGTCTAACTCGTCACAATCACTTCTGTTCAGGGTCCCAATGGCGCAGAGTTTTTATAAGATTTCAGGAAGAGGAAAAGGATTTCTGAGAACTACTAGAGGAGTAAATCTGTTGTGTATTGTAAAAAGGAGAAACTCAAAGATGTCAACTTTGGGAGAAGAATCATTGGTGAAAGAGATAGACATGTTGAAGTTGGACTGATTAGCTGCTTAGTTAGGATGCTGTGGGACCTCAAAACAGGCATGTAGCTCTTACACAAGGAAGGCAGAGAGTTCTTTTTGAGTAGAATCTGGGAGGAAGAGTGAGTGTGGCAATATGGGGAATGCCAAACATTTTAAAGTTTATCCAGGAGCACCTGGGTGGCTCAGTTGGTTAAGTGGTGCCTTTGGCTCAGGTCATGATTCCAGGGTCCTCGGATCAAGCCCCATGTCAGGCTCCCTGCTCAGTGGCACATCAGCTTGTCCCCCTGCTTCTGCCCTTCCCTCTGCTCGTGCTCTCTCTCACTCTCAAATAAATAAATCTTTTTAAAAAATAAAAAATAAAGTCTATCCAAAGGCAACAAGGGCGAAACAAGGTTGGAAGATAATATTGGAAAGGTAGGGAGGAGTTAGATCATGAAAGACCTTAGATTGTATCCCAGATACAGAGAAGACAAGCAAGGTTTTTTAAGAATCTATGCAACATAATTAGATCAACCTTCAGATAAGCTAATTACTCATTCTAACTGCTTTAGAGCAATGGAATTGGAATAGATTAAAAATAGAGGCAGGAAAACCAGCTAGGATTGCAATAATACAGGCAAAAAAGAAGATTCCAATTAAAGCAGCAAAAACAAATTAAGGAACAGATCTGACAGAAATTTAAAAGAGAATCTGATGAAGGCATGAGAAGTGGGAAAAGAGTGAATAAAGTCATACAAGGCCAGAAATCTGAACAACCACATAGTTTCAGCAACACTACTGAGGTATTAAAATTCCAAGCTGACACAAAATATTATAAGCTTCTCTAGCATAAGCCTTTGAACTCCACTTTTCCACAGTAAACACAAGGAACACCACTTGCTCTTTGCTATTAATAGAACTTCATAAAATATATATATATATATAATTATCAAACTCTTAATCAAAATCATCCCTCAACATGTTTTATTTTCTATTATAAAGGTTAGGCCTTCATCATAGACTATTTTCAAATACAGGAAAGTGGAAAAATGGAAAAATGCATCCATATTTCTTCCACCCAAAGAAAACTGCCATCGCTTGATCTGGGTTAAGTATATTGCTGAAGATAAATATATCTTAAGAGTGCATTGTAATCTCATTAAGAATATTATATTAAGAGTAGTGCTTATAGGGGCACCTAGGTGGCCCAGTCAGTTAAGTGCCTGGCTCTTGATTTTGGCTCAGGTCATGGTTCAGGTCGGGGTCTTGGGATCAAGACCCTTGGTGGGCTCTACACTCAGTGGGGGTTCCGCCTGAGGATTCTTTATCTCCTTCTCCCTCTGCCCCTGCCTGCTGTGCTGTGGGCTCTCTCTTTCTCTCTCTCTCTGGGACAAATAAATCTAAAAAAAAAAAAAAAAAAAAAAGTAGTGCTAATATTTCTAAGAGTTTAACAGATAAACACGGAGAGGACATATATATATATATATATATTGACTAAGTATTTTTGTAATTAATGTTTTGCAAAAATAAGTCAGTGACAGTCATCAAAACCTTGTGAATCAAAAGGAAAGAACAGGGGACTCTACAGAGAGCTTTCACACTGAGGCTTTATATTAACTAATTGGTGTAAATAAATTTCTGGATTAAAATCAGAAGTTAAACATGAAGTCTTGAGTGTATAGTTTTCAAATAAGTCTTTCCCCAAGTACCACACAATGAAAAACAAAAATTTTTTTTCAAGATTTTATTTATTTATTTGACAGACAGAGATCACAAGTAGGCAGAGAGGCAGGCAGAGAGAGGAGGGAGCAGGCTCCCCGCAGAGCAGAGAGCCCGATGTGGGGCTCAATCCCAGGATCCTGGGATCATGACCTGAGCCGAATGCAGAGACTTTAACCCACTGAGCCACCCAGGCACCCTTATTTTATTTTTTTAAGATTTTATTTATTTGAGAGAGAGAACATGGAAGGAGAGCGAGAGCAAAGAGCAGACTCCCTACTGAGCAGGAAGCCCGATGTGGGCCTTAATCCCAGGACCCTGAGATCATGACCTGAGCTGACCCAGGTGCCCCATGACCTGAGCTGAAATACCTAACTGACTGAGCCACCCAGGCACCCTTATTTATTTTTTTAAGTTTTATTTACTTAAATAATCTCTACATTACACATGGGGCTTGAACTCATGACCCTGAGATCTTGAGTTGCCAGCCCTTCCCCCTGAGCCAGCCAGGAGCATGGAAAACCATTATCTTGGAATCATTACAAGCCTATACACAACACTGAAAAAGAAAAAAAGCAAAAACAAAAACGTTCCATATGTTCCCAAGTAGTATTTTTTTTCTCTCACCACAGTTCTAAAAAGCTTATGCTAAAAGCACATCCATGATATTGATTTCTAAAAAGTGTTGTCACATGTTCTAAGGGTCCATCCTTAAGTTCACCAGAGGATTTCAAAAAACCGAAGGATAAATAAAAACAAAATGAATATAAGTTGAAAAGCATCTCTTGCTTATTTCACAAGAAAATGAATAAAGCCTGATTCTTACAGTAGCTTGGATTTTGTCCCTTTAAAACAGTACAGTAAGATGTTCTGTGAATTTTCAAGAAGCAACATGTTTAGGCTTGTTTTTATAATCTTGGCTGCCTTAAATGTGTGCAGCAGCTGAATCAACCCTTACTGCACTGAAGCTGATGCAGAGCTGTGATCATATTATTGATCCAAAAGCTAAAAGCAAAAGCAACTAGGAACTTGGAGTACCATCCACCGTTAAAGAAAAGGCTCGGGGCGCCTGGGTGGCTCAGTGGGTTAAAGCCTCTACCTTCGGCTCAGGTCATGATCCCAGGGTCCTGGGATCAAGCCCCACATCGGGCTCTCTGCTCAGCAGGGAGCCTGCTTCCCCCTCTCTCTCTGCCTGCCTCTCTGCCTACTTGTGATCTCTCTCTGTCAAATAAATAAATAAAATCTTTAAAAAAAAAAAAAAGAAAAGAAAAAAAAAGAAAAGGCTCACAAAGAGCCTTACCTATAAATTTTAAAGAACTCCTATTTCAGCTGGCTTTCTGTATTCATTACACAGCCACTTAATTAACGACATAAAACATAAATAAAACTGCTTTTAAATGCAGAGAGGCACACACAAAAAAAAAACAATTACACTGCAAGATTCCACAGCATGTCAGGGTTTCTTAACCTATAGGGATCTTGGCTAACTAGAGAGGAGAAAGCTGGCCATTTAGACTAGATAATGTTTTGTACTTGAACTCGATGACTTCCTTGGTTGATTGTGATTTGTGAGGACTCTGCTCTTTCCTCCTACCTTCAATGGAGTTAAGAGTATATTCTTGTCAAATTCTTTACTGAAACATTGCAAAACATCTCTGTGAAGGAGCTATAATCATACTTAAATTTTTCTGCATGCAAAAACAAGGTAGAAGATCCAGTTAAGGATGGACATTAAAACCATATAACACACCTGGAATCTTTAAGTTTTTCTCTTCGAGGTATTTTACAGTTTGTCATTCCTAAAAGGCAAACATGTCCTTTATCAAGATTCTCACCCTCACCAAGACTGAAATAAAAAGGCCAAACAATCTCCCCAAATGCTAAAGATACGATGAAAACGGTTTTTTTTCCCTCAGTTGAGTTTATTTCTGAAAGTTATATGCTGCTTTGCCAGTGATAAAATATAGCTAATAACATTATAGCTAATAAGAAGATGACAGATCTTGTCTTAAAGGCTTTCCCCGTATTTCTGATTTAATCTCCACAACATGTCTGTGAGTAAGGAATATAATAATTTTTACAAAAGAGGAATCCTGGCTCAGAGCACAAGTAACTTAGTCAAGTAGGCTGCAGCGCTGGGATCAACAGGTCAGGGAAATGCCAGAAACAGAAAAAGCTACAAGAAAAAGGTCAGGCTCCTTGGAGTTAGCTTCTCCTAAACATTTTTAAAAATACTTTTGTTTAAAAGTTTTTTGGTGAAAGATAGTATTGGAAGTTTCATGTTAATTCCTTGTAACTTCAAGAGTGATTTTCAGAGAATAACAATAAAAAGGTTTATTTTCCCAGAGAAGTACAGCTTCCTCTACGGAGGGAAGGACAGAAAGAGAAAAGCAGGCAGGCGAAAACGTTCCACAACAGTGATTTTTAATTATAAGTCAACATGGATCCTACGCCAGCATTTCGCAACCTGAACACAAAGCTAATCCGCTAGGAAATCCGCGTGGAGGTTCACAGAATCCAGCGTAAGAAATAACGATGATAACCGGAAATCGTCTTTATTAGAGAAAGAAGCGTTTACTTAGGGGAATTACTGGATCCGTCATCCTCGAGTCAAACACTGAAAATAAAGCAACAGCGGCCAATGACTAGCGAGACACAGGCACGATGGAAGGGAAAACCGTCGACCTGTACCAGACGCTTGTCGCATAAATTCTCATGTTTGGTTTAAAATGCACTCATGCGCACCCGGAACACCCGAAAAACCGGGAGCTCAGGTCCAAGCAGAGACGAGGTGTCTACAGGGCGCACATGACAGGGAACAAAAGAGGTGGCGGAACGCAGACAGCCCCCTCGAGTTTCTGCCAGACGGAGCTCAGAAATGAGAACCGTGAATCAACGGTTCAAGTTCGCGTGTGTGAAAGACAAATGGTACAGTTTAATACCCGCGGGGAGGGAGGCCCCTTTTAAAAAATCAGCTTCGCCCCTTCTCCCACCCCGATCGTGGCGCCTCCGCGCTCCGGCTGAAGTTAGGCGGCAACCCCGGAAAACGCCGCGGGCTGCTTCGCCCCGTCTCCCACCTTTCAAGCCCCGGGGGGCGGACACCCCTGACGGCCAAAGGGGGCCAGGCCCGGGGCGGGTAAGGACGCGGCCCCGGGCGCCGTCTCCTCCCTTAGGGTCGGGAGGGAGGTCCCCGCCGGCGGAGGGAAGCGGAAGGTGGGACGTGGGAAGAGGAGGACGCCGCCCCCTAGGGGAGCCGCGCCGCTGGCTGGGGGCCGGGGCGGGAGGAGCCGCGCTGAGGAGGCGGCGGTAGGGGGACCGCGCCGTCGGGCGGGGCCGCCGCTCCTGCTGGCTCGGACCCCGGCAGGGCGGCCTGTAGACGGCGCGGCGGAGCGCAGACGCCGGCCCGCGGCCGAGGAGAAAGGTGGCGGCGGCGGCGCGGACGGGACGAGGCGGCGACTCGCCGCCGTGACCCTCTGCTCACCTGCCCGCGCCCTGGAGCGAGTCGCAGGCGGCGGCGAAGGAAGGAGCGAGCATGGCTGAGACCTCGCCGCCACCCGCCTCCGGCGCGGAAAGTTGCAGCGAGGAGCCGGCGAGGGGCGGGGAGCAGCTGCCGGAGGAGCCGCGCCGCGCTCCAGCCGGGGGAGCGGACCGAGAGGGCGAGGCGGGGCCGCCGCCGGCCTCCCCCGCGGGGCAGTCGGAGCCCGGCTCGCCGGTGGCCGCCCCCTTCTTCCTGCTCTACCCGGGCGATGGAGGCGCCGGCTTCGCAGCGCGCCCGCCGCCGCAGCAGCAGCAGCGCGCCTGGAGGACCCCGCCGTCGCCGGGCTCCCCGCTGCCCTTCCTGCTGCTGAGCTACCCGAGCGGCGGCGGCGGCGGCAAGCACCGTGAGTGGCGGCGGGAAGGGGGGACTCGGCCGGGAGGGGTGCGGGGGGCGGGGAACTGCCGCGGTCCGGCCGCCGGACTGTTTACCTCCGCGTCTCCCCAGGCCGCGGGCTCCCGCCCGGCCTCCCCTTCCCTCCTGGGCCGGGCGCTGGTCCTCGCTGGCCTCCCACGTGCTCGCCGGATCCCGGCCCCGGGTCCCAGGCTGGGAGCCTTCCCGGTAGAAGCCGAGGAGGGGGCGGCGCCCGGAGACCCGGCGGCCGCGGCGGCCCGCCTTGGGAGGGCTCCCGGCGCCGCGGCCGCCGAGTAGGTGTGGCTGCTGCGCCGCCGCCACCCGGGCGGCCTCAGCCGTACCAGTAAAATTTTTACGAGCGTTCACGCCGCGGCCGTAGATCCCACAGATTCGTTCCCCCGGATCGGGAAGAGAAATCGGGACCAGTACCCGAGATGTCGAGATGGGGATGTGTGGCTTTGCAGGGGCCGCTCCCGAGGTTGGAGCGTTTGGCAGGAAGAGGCCTCCACCTTTTGGCAACCCGGACGCGGGAGCCCTCTGGTTGCAGCGGACCCCACTTTGTGCTTTGTCGGTCAACAGATGTTTATTGCTGCTCGCCGTGAGCGGGACCCTAGAGCAGGCAATGTGTATGAAAAGACGGGGAGGAATGTGAAATCTGGCTTGACAAGACAGGGTCTTACAGTATGAAAATGTGGCTGAAGATACAAGGCGTGCCATAAATGTCAAATACTTTGCTGTGTGAGTTCTGAAAAGGGGGAGAAACTTGCTTAAAGGGATGAGGGGATCTCTCTTTCCCAGAGACAGAGCTAAAGGTTTCTTTGATCGCCGCAGCAAACCTTTTAACTGCTCCACACAACCGAGAAATCCCGACTTTGCCTTTTCTGACCCCTCCTCCATCCCCTATGAGAAGATTAACATTAGTGGAATATTTTCTGTGTGCTTGTGCTGTGATTATCAGAGTTAATCCTCACATCTCTGTGAGATACGATGCCACGTTTTCAGATCAAGCTAAGGGTCACTATTATTGAGTGACCTGTCCCAGGTCACAGCCTTAGAGAAGGAATGAAGTTGACCCAGATTCCCTGCCTACCAAGCACGTGCTCTTTAAGCAAACCCCAGACTTTGGAAACTGATGGCATGGTTCTCCTAGCTTAGGGGCCATTGGATTCAGCTGGAGGTAGTCGTCCTGTGTGACCTTTTCTGTATTACCTAGAAAGAGGGCCAACACTGACCACTAACAGTCTTAGTAAAACCATAGTTAGTGTGTTGGAGTGGTCTGCTAATCTCCAGATGGGAGTCTAATCAAGGTAGAAATTAGTCCTTTAATAAGCAGAGGAGATGGAGATAAGAATATTGACCACAGTACTTTCAGTTTTCTAAGGAATCTGCTTTCTAGTTTATTTAAGCACAGCCCCTTTTTTATCCTTTAAAATTTTATTTCTGTGTAATCTGCCTACTAACTATCACTATAGAGTGAAAACAGTCCTATCAATTCTTTATAACTCTCAACAGTTCTGGTACAAAGTTTGACAGAAGAAATTTTCGACTGTTGGCCATTGTCATTTGTGGGGATTATCTGAATTTAGGTTAATTTATTTGATTCTTCCCCCTATTAAGGGTTGGCTTTATTTATTTATTTATTTTTATTGTTAGAAAATTAGGGCCTCAGGGGCACCTGGGTGGCTCAGTGGGTTAAAGCCTCTGCCTTTGGCTCAGTTCATGATCCCAGGGTCCTGGGATCATGCCTGCATCAGGCTCTCTGCTTAGTGGGGAACCTGCTTCCCCTTCTCTCTGCCTGCTTCTCTGCCTACTGTGATCTCTGTCTGTCAAATAAGTCAAATAAGTAAATAAAATCTTAAAAAAAAAAGAAAAGAAAATTAGGGTCTAAGCATGATCAAGATCAGGAATGGAAGACTTAAAACTGAAGTTTCATACCTGTGATCTCTTAGTCTTTACCTTACAGTAGTAGTAGTGTATTAAAGTAGTTCTTGAGTTTTCATTTTTATCTTGTTATTTGATATTTACTTCAGAACACAGTCATATTTGGAAAAAGGGGTACTCTGTATATTTTTTTTTTAATTTTTTTTTAGGGGTACTCTGTATATTAATTACAACATTTCTTGGTGCTCAGTGCAATATTACTTTCTATGATGTACTTGAGTATCAGAACTCTGGGTCTCCTGCCTGTTGACTTGAGCAACCTTAGAGCAGTTTTGTTTTTTTTTTTTAAGATTTTATTCATTCATTTGACAGACAGAGATCACAAGTAGGCAGAAAAGGCAGGCAGAGAGAGAGAGAGAGGAGGAAGGGGAGCAGAGAGCCTGACGCAGGGCTCGATCCCAGGACCCTGAGATCATGACCCAAGCCAAAGGCAGAGGCTTTAACCCACTGAGCCACCCAGGCGCCCCCAACCTTAGAACAGTTTTAAGAAGATTTCTCATTTCAGTCGCCAGGGCAGTACTTGGATTCAACGTCAACACCCAGTGAATGTTTGCCTCCTCAACACCTAGTTTTTAACTCTTGCTAATCTATTTGCCAAAAACGCATAATATATAATAACTTTGAGGTATTGTATATTAAGTCAGTGTCATCTTTTTACTTTAGAAATCTTACCTGTATTCAGAGATTTGAAAAATTAACCTTTACATTTGAGTTCAGAAGCTTTGTTTTAAATGACACTGATAAAGAAGAGCAAAAATGTGGGGGGGGAGAAGTAGCCTAAACTTTTCAGAGTTCATGATGTATAGTGTTTCAGTGTAAAATCCTGCTAGATATAATGTCCACAAAATATTCAGCATGCTCAAAGCAATATGAAAGAAGGCTTCTGATGTGCCTTGTTGGATCATGTCCCTTTCTGAGTCTTGGAGTGCTAATCTGGTACATTTCGATGCTTCTAGCTTTGAAATCTCGATGATTTAAAAAAAAATACTTGATTTATAAAAATTACAAGTAACACATAAATCTTCCCATTGTTTAAATGTTTACCCTGCAAGAGTACATTACAAATTACAGTTTCCTCGGGGGGGGGGGGCATCCCCACCCTCATTTCTTTTCAGAGGCTATCACTTTTGAGTTTGGTGAGTTTTCTTCAAGAACTTTTGCGTGCATTCGTCAACGTGGATGTATTCATCTTGCATGAGGCCTTTTCACCCTGTGTAGAACTTTCCATACCAGTTTCTCATAAACTGTATAGGAAGGAGCTACTTTTGTGCCTCGGCACAGTACTTTTAATGCCTTCCTTTTCCATCCCAACTTTTGAAGTCTTCTCATGGATGGCAGCATGAGTAAGAGACGGCTTCTTGGTGCTGAGGAAGAGGCACTCCCGCTGTGTATATGGTTTCAGCTTCTGTTGGCGCATACTCGTTCCTTCTTCCAACTCCCAGAGCCGTGGCAAACACTGCTGTTTATGACAGACATGCAGATGACCTGCATCTTGCCCTTGTCTTACCTCATTACAGCAGTGTACCAAAAAAAAAGAAAAAAGTCCAACGCAACAAAGAAGCAGCTTTCTTTCTGTATTTGTATGTGCTGCTTTGAGATGATGGAAGGGACTAGGAATAGAATAGAAAGAAGAAAAAAAAGTGTGAAGGCCTGACAGCATTACTCTGATCACCCACTTGGAAGTTCAGTATACCTAACAGTGAATACCTTGGTTGGGCCCAGGAAAGTTCAGAGAATGAGGCTTCTGGAAACATCCACAGATGCACTTTAAGAATCCATGATTTGGGGAAGGAACTTCTCATTTATGTATAAATGCAGGAATGAGTAAGGGAAGAAAAAAGTGTTATGTCTAGTTTATACACATACACGCAATATAAAAATATATAGAGATGTACATGTGCATGTACATACGTTGTTGTGTGTGTATATGTATATATTTATTCATTGATCTTAATTTATCCTCCATGGACATTTCTGGTTTTTTGTCTCTCTTTCTTCTGTTTTCATCAATTAATAGTATTCCATAAAGCATTACACGTGGTCAGCAGTTGAATACACATTAATCGGTTCATCTGCTGAATGTTTTTTGTTTTTTGTTTTTTTTAATTTTGAAACGACAAAACTACTTTGTCCTACTTCATAAATATAGAGGCACCTGCTCAAACTCAGAAGTCCTGGGGGTAGGACTGAACCATCAGAACCCCAGCACTTTGAGCACTCATCTTTATACTGGTAGATTTGAGAATGGCAGATTGAGTTGTGACTTTTTTAAAGACAGCTTTTTGGTATAATAAACGTAGAGCAGAGCAGTGTCTCAGTTTACAATACTGTGATTCACAAGTCTTCAGCTCTTTTCCAACTACATTAAGAATGCTTTCCCTGAAAAAAAAAATGCTTACACCTGGGTTAAGGATCACTATCTATAGGCAGCTATAAACACCCATTAAAAAAAAAAACAACCAACCCCATCCTTCAGAAATGTAGCATCTTCAGACAGTATTTAATTGTAGGTTAGTGACTACCAGAACTGGAGTTTAGGACTCAGGAGTATTTATTAATTCACTTATTTTTAAAGATTTTGTTTATTTGTTTGACAGAGAAATTACAAATAGAGAGGCAGGCAGAGAGAGAGGAGGAAACAGGCTCCCTGCTGGGCAGAGAGCCCAATGCAGGGTTCGGTCACAGGACCCTGGTATCATGACCTGAGCCGAAGGCAGAGGCTTAACCCACTGAGCCACCCAGGCGCCCCAGGATTCAGGAGTATTTAAATAGGTAAATGCAGGTAGGTCCCTTCCACCTATAGCTGCAGTGACCCGAGCTGAGGTAGGGGAGCTGGGTCATGCCCCCATTTCCTGTGTCCTGTGGCTGCGGTAACCTGTCTGGTGCTTCCCCTTCCCAAATTGGCTTTTATCACCACTGCTGCCTAAACTTTCACTTCTCCCCTTCCTCCTGCCTCCTTCCTTTTGTTTGCTCCTCTGGTCTGGCATTATCAAAAAGTCAAAGCACGCTCTGAGACTGACAAAGCAATGACTTCAGGATATTAGAGGTTAT